AGAGGCATCTTCAAACCATACACATAGAATCCAAAAATAAAACCACTGGATTTTTTCAGAAAACAAAATAGGGCTATAAAATGCAAGCAAAAAACTTTATGTCTACTTTTACCGGTATTAACATTTAAAAAAAAAAAGCATTAATATCTTGTTACTGATTACATTAATATCTTGTTACCGATAACTACTGGCAAGCCGCACACAATTGCTGAAGAATTAATTGTTCCAGCAGCCCAACATATGGTATGCGTCATGTTTGGCAAAAAGGAACAGCAATAAATGTATCAAATATCTCTCTTCAATACAAAAATTTATCGCAGAAGATAAGAAATGGCAAATAATGTGGAAAGCAAACTTATAATTACAATTAAAAAAATTAAATTTTTCCGTTTTCAGTTGTGATGAATCTACCAACTGACAAAACGTTGCACAACTTATTTGTTTTGCAAAATATGATACAAAAATTAACTCGCTAAACACTTCTTTTTTGCAAGGAAATATAAAGAACTTCGGTGAAGGTTTGGTTTATTTAATTATGCCAAAGCACGCTAGGGCTATCTGCCTAAAGGGAGGGATGCCTTCGTGGAGGACTTTCTAAGGGAACTGACTCGTATACACGTTACACATGGGAAAAATCACGAAAACGCCCTTGCAGCCATCCCGTTCCCGGGATTCGAACCTCGGACCGAACTACCAATGTTCAGCGACTTTACCGCTCGGCCGCTGGTGGGCCTACTTCGGTGAAGGAATTTTTAAATTGGTAAATTCTTACGTCACGGAAAACAATATTTCGTGGAAAAATTGTCTGGTGGTGCGCAGTGATAGAGCTCGTGCCATGATATGAAAACACAGTGAACTTTAAGGCCGAGTCAAACAAATCTTTCCCAATTAAAAAAAAAAAAAAAAAAAAAACATGGTAAATGTATGTTTCATAGAAAAGCGCTTGTATCGAAAAGCATGCTGTCTGTCCAGCCTGCTGTTACACTTACTCCAGCTGATCTTTTTTTTTTTTTTTTTTTTTTTTTTTTTTTTAGCCCTTTATTATTAAGCATAATTTCTTTCGCACTTACGCCAAACACAATTCAATAGCAAAATTACAAAAAATTCTGAAAGCAGAATAGCAGTATACGTTTAGAATTCCTGATGCGGCATTAAGTGTTGGCATATATTTTTTGTGGGGTTTTTTTAGTCTTTTCTCAGTTCATCATATTGTTACGAAATGTACAAGCGTGGTAAGATAGCTTCCCCGAAAAGCAGTTTTAGGGTTGCCATAAAATGGCAACAGAAAGCAGGGTTGCCACATTTGGCGAGAAAACGCCCATTTGGCGACACATTTGGACGGATGGAGAACCTTCTGGAACGAGTTCTTACCGGTTTAGCCCATAGACCTGTTATATACTAGACGGAGTATCGCCATTCAAAACCGGGTGAAAAAGCAGCACAGGAATGAGCTGCAGGAGTTTGGGCATGAAATGGAACTGAACCCAGACTTTGGCGTACTATCGCCACGGCTGGCGATTTTTCCTCTCTTTTCTCTTAGTTCGAAATGCGGACTTGGAAAGACGTCATTTCGCAGAAGCTGCCGTTGAATTTGCAGAAGAGGTTAGATCGATAAACAGCCAAAATTATTAATTTCCCTAAAATTGGACACTTTATTTTAAAATTTAACTTTATTTTAAATTTTTAATTTTTAAAATTTAAATAATTCTCATGCTGTAGAATAATATTTTGTAATATGTTCCTCGGCGTCTACAAAATTTAAGATAAAATAATAAAAACTGGAGAGAACAAACTAAATAATAAATAATAAACTAAATAATAAATAATAAACTAATAACAAACTAAAAAATAAATAAATAAAAAAGAAGGTTTTTTAGTACTTAGGACAGAATAAAAAAAAAATAGATAACATAAGAAAAATGAGTGAAAACAGAAAATAGTACAAAAAGGAAATTTAATATTAATACGAAAAGGAAATTTAATGTTAATACGGTGTATTACAGAGAACTACAGAGTAGGCGAATCAAAGTGAGAAAGATATTAAATTAAATTGAACTAAAAATGAATGTCAATATAAGCAGATACAAGTTAAAAGGAAGAGAGAGAGTGGTAAATAATTAAATTATGAAACAAAAAAGGTGGTAAATTAAGACTTCCTTTTACTAGCAAAAATATATATATATATATATTATGCACGTTGCACAATGTAGTCGCACTTATTTTAAATAATTTTAGAAGGTAAAATTTAAATAATGCTCATTATTTTTAAAAAGAAACTTAAAACTATTAAAGTTTTGAAATTTAACTGCTATATAATTTCTATTTTCTTAATACTTAACAAATTCTTAATATTGGAATAAATGCCAGAAACATGATATAAGAAAGAAAATACGTGATTGAAAGTAAACATATTTGTTATATTTGGATGCAAGAAAAGGGGATAAAATAAAGTCATTCATGTCCCCCCCAAAAAAAAACATAATTTTATGCAGTTCTTACACAGTGTTACATCAACATTACCAAGTATTAAATACATACATTACTACTTCGCACATGTCCGCATAAGCAAACGCATACAAAGAATATATAAACAAACGCATTCAAAGCAGTCTGTTGGCGTATGAAAAATGTCGCCAAAGCAGAATACTAGACTAATTAAAATTATATTGTATTACTAAAATTTTAACATTTTTTTTCGGAACACAGTTATTAGAAACATACACATCGTATATATTAAGATACTTTTATTTAAATGTTATTTCAAGTATGCATATATTATATAAAATTAGAAAATCTAATTTTTTGTTAGAAAACGGCAAGTAGAGTGGATAAAAAAACCTCTACATTTTATATAATTACGTTTAAAACATTAGAAAAAGCCCAGCTGTGAAATGTTACTCCTCCACCTTTCACGTATCTGGAATTTCATCTATATGCGGAGCACGAAAGTACCATTTTTGAAGTCCGAAACAATGCGCGTATACGCAAAACATTTGCTTCTCACAAATTCTCCATAGAACTGTAATGGGAAGGAAGATCCGCGGGAAATACGATCTGGGAAATGTTCCAAATGTCACGTGGTTCGCATTCCTGTTCCCCTTCAGGGTTGCCGTTCTCTCTAGTACATTACAGCTCTATGGTTTAGCCCAGAATGTTCTCGAACACAAGCCGAAAGCTATATAAACCCTGTTGGTCAGCAGTCAGTGTGTCTCAGAGAGTGTGCCTCGTCTAGCGAGCCGTGCGGAATCGATTGAGTTGACAGCGAGTGGGTCGTCGAGTGCACCGAAGGAGTCTCTTAGTGTATCGCGGTTAGTGCATCGTCGAGAGAGCGTGTTGTGCTCCGGGAACGACTGAACTGAAGAGTCAGGAACTGTGCTCGTGTGTCGTCGAGTGCATCGCGAGTTGTAGCGTGGACAGTCTCGAGAGTACGTGGAGTTCTGAGAACGACCAAGCAGAGTCAGGAGCTGTACTCTGGTGCTTTGCAGGAAACTGTCTCCACCGTTATTGCCTGACAGTGTGAAGACTGTGTCGCTGATTGTTCCAGCGTGTTTATAGTAGTTCATCGACGACTGTAAAACGTGTTTTGGAGCTGTCCTGACAATACTGACTAATAAAGTGTGTTTCGATACTTCATCAAGTGTCGTCGTTATTCACTCCAAATCTACGAACCCCGTATGAACGTGAAGGAAGGATATAACGTAACAACTGGTGTCAGAGAAGAGAAAAACGTAACAATATCAATGTTCAGTTTCCTTAGTAAGATGGCTTTACGAAACTCTCTTTGTCTTTTTATTATTAACGTTTCCTGTGTTTACTTTATTTATTAAATATCCTGTTCTTAGCGATTACGCCACGTAAATTCGATTCAACAGAAAAATCACAAAATATTTAAAAACAACATATCTTTAGAATTTTCGATAGACAGTCTCGCTCTCTGACAAAAATGGAGACAAAATTGATTTATTTCGTACGGTGTTTGCTCGCTTTGAAATTTTTGAGTTTGTTAATCAAAAATTCGTTAAAGTTGCATAAATATGAAATAGATTAATAAAGCGAATTCCAAATTCGCGCTTCCAGGTTATAGTGTTAGGTGCAGGACTACGCTATTCAAAATTTAATGGCTCTAGGTACCGCTGTTTTTTTTTTACATGCATACATACATGTGAGAAACATACATACATTCATACAGATTCTTCATTATTTAATTATTTCCTTATCATGTAAAAGGGAAATAAGCACATTAAAAAACAGACCTTTAAGGCTACTACAAATTAAAGTTGTTGTCTTGTCCATATTACATGGAATAATGTTTGCCAGAGCCTACTCCGAAGAGAGGTTGGACTTCTTCTTAAGGGAGGGATGCCTTCGTGGACGACTTTCAAAGGGAAACTGGCTCGTATACACGTTACACATGGGGAAAACCACGAAAACGCCCATGCAGCCAGCCCGTTCGCGGGATTCGAACCTCGGACCGAACTACCAGTGTTCAGCGACGTTACCGCTCGGTCGCTGGTGGGCACAAATTAAAGTCTTAGATATAAATAATTCTAAATTTTACGCATAGGTATTAAAACCAATATATATGTCTAACATAATTTACCTGATGCTGATGAATACTGCACAATGCTATTTGATTTCAGATAAACATTTTACAATGTTAATTCATTCGGCATGAATTTGCTATCATTAAGATTTTCTTTAAATGACCTTTAATCATACATCTACACAAACATCTTATTATTATATCTATAGGTTTTGTAAAAATATATACACATATTACTGAATAAAAATATATATATAAATAATGTAACTGAAAAATACATGTTTTGCATGTTTTGTTGAAATTCATTTGCGAATCATTTAAATTCCGGGGGTTACAATTTCACCATGTAAGTAGTAGTTTTAAATTCCAGTAACAGATTATTATTATATTCTTCAGTTTTGACATTTTTTTAGTTTCTCTTAAGACTACGAAAAAGCAAATACCTTAGTTGCCTTACCTCTAAAAGAACAAACAAGTGTTTCAATAATTCCAGTGGTTAAGCGCTTTTTGCTTCTATGATAAAAGTCTGATTAACAATCTAGTTCGCATCTGTGAAACGCGGTGACACAATCCCGGCTTGAATTTCCATTGAAGAATAAAAATATGAAGGAGGAAAAAGGTTTGCATAATTATTTTCATGGCGAGAAGCCAAGAATTCTGCTTTAATTATAACTCGTGCTGTATCACGCAGAATATCAGACATACACATACATTAAAACTTAATTCAAACGGTATCAAAACGTACAAGTTTGCGTTATATACCTTGAAAATATATCCATTCATTTCCCCTGATTGCTAAATTAAGCTGCATATTTATTTAAATACATTCTGCATTGGTGTGTTAAATAAGTTGATTCAAAATGTAATTTGTAATAAATGTGTGTCAGTTTAAAACTTATTTAAAATCTCTTTATTAGCAAATACTGTTGCATGCCTGCGGGTTCCTAACAGACTGAATGCAAAAGTCCGATAAAAGGTTAATAAAATTTATTCTTATCAAAAGAAATATAAAAGAACGCTGGCATTTTTCTCCGCAATATTTGTGCAAGTGTTCACAATATCACGCAGTAATAACCAGTAATTGTACTTTAAACTACTAAAAATGTTAATAAGAACGCAAAGCACAGCACAGAGAAAGATAATCCGATAAACAATAACAACAGCAGCTAACCAAACAACTGAGCTGAGATGTCTCTATCCGGCTTTTTAAAGCTTTCAATCGATCGCGAGAGAGTTCTAGTAATTTCTTTGTTTCTTGAGATTTCTGGAAACCAGCAAGAGGATGGAATTACGGTTACAGCTAACAAAGTAGTCAATTACATTTATTCAATTTCAATACAGATAAAAGAGATATCCATTTATTCAATGTTGAATGCATGTGCTCCTATATTTTTACTTTTCCGGCGTAGCTTTTTCTTAAAATTTATCTCGCGCTGCATTGCACGGAGAAACACAACAATTTTAATTGTAATTCTACTAAAAAATCTAACTAAATACAAAATTCGTAACATGAAAGTTCGTAAATTAAGCGGCATATTTGTTTAAATACATTCTGCATTGTTGTGTTAAATAAGTTGATTCAAAATGTAATTTATAATAAATATGTGTCAGTTTAAAAGTTACTTAAAATCTCTTTGTTAATAAATATGTAAGAGCTACGTTATTTTCTGAATTCTACCTTTCAGAAAAGTCACTTAGTAAATTTTTAAAGATATGCTGTTCTTAAAAGTTTTGTGATTATGCTATTGAATTTTATGTGGCATAAGTGCGAAGAAAATGAAGTTTAATAATAAAGACAAAAAATGTTTGTGTCAACAGGAGAGAGTCCAAGAAAAGATATAATAAACTGCGAGCTCAACAGGACTATAAAACTTTAAACTTTTTGGGATGCTACTCTAAAATGTTAATCCTTTGAGATTTTATTTTCTTATTACTTTTTTAGCCTTACATTTGTTCATTAGCCAATATTAAAGAAAATGTTAATAAAATGCTGCTGCGGGACGGGGATAGTTCTCATTCGGACTGTTTACTGAATCGTTATCGAATTATAAAAAACAATTAATACTAAAACTCCCACTCCTAAATTCGATACCACAATTTCCATTCTGCTCCCAAATTTCTAGTTTTTCTTGATATTCTTAAAAAAATATCAATTTTATGCATGTATTATATTATACCGAATATTTTTCCCGAGGGTAGAAAATCCATCTTAACATATTGAGAAATATTTTTTAATTCTTTTGATATGACCTCAAATTCTATCGAATGTCAAGTATTAATGTAAGGAAACACTCAAAAACCAGCTTACCACTTATTTAAACAAGAACTTCTTTGGTTATTTTGCTATAATATACGCCATCGATTGCAAGGTACTTATGTTTCACCTACAGTGTCTCACAAAAGTAATGGGACACTTGTGCTTTACAAAAGGAAACTGTAATAAAATAAATTAAAAAAACGTGTAAAAATTTTTTGTGAGTGTGTTTCATACTTAAATTTAGTAACAATTATTACATAACATACATTTTCTCAAAATATTAAAATATTAATTTAATAAAAAATACAATTGTTTAGAACGGAGCAAAAAATGGCTCACATAAGTGATGGGACACCATTAGATACTACTAAGTACTACAATAAAAATATTTTTTTCGTTTTTATTTTTACTCAAAAGCAATTGGCAATAATTAATAAAATTGTCTGCAGTATTCCTCTCCAGTTTGTTTCGGAATTTTCGTGTTTTTTAGCTCTGTGCAGCCATGAATGCTAAACGAAAAGAAACTTTGCCTGAAATTCTAAAATTAGTTATTAATTTGCATATTGAACGTGGAAAATCTATTAGAGAAACTGCTGAAACAGGTAACTTGAGTCATTCAACAGTTTTCGATATCATTAAACAATATAAAAAGAATCATATGTTTCAGGATAAAAGAAGACCTGGCCGACCATCAAAGCTATCCAATGCAATAAAGCGAATTATCTTTCGAAATATTAAAAAAAATGCAAGAATGAGTGCTCCTAAAGTTGCTGCTGATTTACAAGCATTGTATAGAGTAATTGTTAATCCTGGGACTATTAGAAGAGTAATTCGATCTGCTGGATATCACCGTAGAGCAGCCAGGAAAAACAATTCTTCGTAAGTGAAAAGAATAGAAAACTCAGACTGGCTTTCGCAAAATCCAACATAAATAAGAATTCTGATTACTGGAATGAAGTTATATTTGCTGATGAGAGTAAATTTAATATATTTGGTTCTGACGGTAGAATGTTGGTGTGAAGAAAACCCAGGGAAGAATTTCGCAAACAGAACTTGGTGCTAACAGTAAAACATGGTGGAGGAGGAGTTATGGTATGGGGGTGTATGTCCTCCGCTGGAGTTGGTAATCTTGTTTTTATTGACAGTATAATGGATCAGTACAAGTATATTGACATTTTAAATCAAAATTTGAAATCTTCAGCACGAAAATTGAACCATCATAACGATTTTAAATTCTACCAGGGACAATGACTCCAAGCACACTGCTTTGAACGTTAGACTCTGGCTGCTGTATAACTGTCCTGGAATAATAAAAACGCCACCAGAACAATCTCCAGACTTAAATCACATAGAAGAATATTTGGCAAAGAATTGGAATCAAGAATTCGCAAACACAACACCATTTCTTCAAAACAACAATTAAAATCGGTGATTCAAGAAGAATGGGTAAAATCACTCCAGAAATCACAAAAAAAAAATTAATCAAATCCATCCCAAGAAGATTAAATCATGTTTTAAAAGTAAAAGGAAATCCAACAAAATATTAAAAACATTTAAAAAGTAAAATTTTTGGATAAATATTTGATGGAAAAGTAAGTGTCCCATCACTTATGTGAGCCATTTTTTGCTCCGTTCTATACAATTGTATTTTTATTAATTAATATTTTAATATTTTGAGAAAATGTATGTTATGTAATATTTGTTACTAAATTTAAGTATGAAACACACCCACAAAAAATTTTTACATGTTTTTTTAATTTATTTTACTACAGTTTCAGATAGAGTAACGACTTCCGAGTCAAATAAATAACTTGACTTTTTAGCATGGAATTTATCATTCTTTCCTACGCAAAGTAGGCCAAGCAGAAATACAATATATCCGAACTTGCAAATAACATTATAGTCTTAATATTTTCTTGTGAAATTAAATAGTGACTTCAGTATCTCATAAACTGAAAGTGTAGCTGACCGATTTAACAATAGTAAGAAGAAAAAAAAGGCAACTAGTTAGAATTAAATCTAGATAGAAATCGTAAAGTTATGATGCAAGAAATCTTTTTCTGAAAATAAAATAGTAGTCATCGCGTAGTAGCGCGTTACTTACGAAATAAATTACTTTGATGTAATGATTTTTTTTTAAATGTAAAAGGAAAACATGAAAGGATTAAGTGCATTAATTTTTTTTAAATGAATAAAAATCAAAAGGCACATTTAAGTTTTTGAATTTTTTACATTGACTATTCAACCAGTTTATTTATTTCAATGAAAATGTCTCAGATTTCTCTGTTAAAAACGATAGATTTTTCTTCCTTCATTTAGGCTAAATTGTATCTAAAATATCCCCCATGTATTCCATGCTTCAGTTTTAAAATTGTTTAAATTTTAATAATGAATGTTTTAAGAAAATACATCTGCCATACTAGAATTCATAACTCTTGTAGTGTATTTTATCTAACAAATAAAAATCATTTAATACTTAGGAGTAGAAAGAGACCTAAAATTTAGAGTAAAAGATATTCCTTTCAGCATATCATATTGTAATAATAATTTATGTGCCACTGATAAGTAAAGTCGTTATGCCTTAAAGCAATATATATACGTATTTCCTTTACTTACTTTAAATACGTACATATAAATTACTTGAATGAAGATAATTAGAAATTCAATGTATAATTTACCATTTTAAATACCAGTATATATTTTACTGTTTACAAAAGTTATATATTACTTCCATGGCTTATTTAGTCATTATTTTCCTTATAAGGAACTTTCGTGTAATCCATAGCGTGAAATGGTGGTGTGAGTGGTAGCATGTTCGGCTAGTAAATCTAAGATAGGGAGTTCAAATTCCGGCCAGACTGCAATTCATTTATCAAGTTTCTTGACTTCGAAAAGGCCAAATAGCTGTAGATCGTAACATATCATGGTGTTGTAATTGTTTATTAATGAAAATATTTACTTTCTTTTCCAGAGATGCCCTAAGGCTTTGGATTCAAATTGATTAATTAAGCAGCAATAATCTAATATGCATTTGAACATTTTGTGGCCTATAATGCGCTGGAGACGGCTTTGAAGATTAATTGGCACTAAAAAACTTGAAAATTTCGCCGTAATCGAATGTACTTACAAATACAAATCTTGAACAAATAAAACACGAAATACAGCTTGAAAAGTAAGCCAAATATTGAGCACATAGAAGAATGCATATGAAAGAAAACGTGCACTTGAAATTCGTTAATTTAATACACTTTAAAAATGTAATATGAACTCTTGAGGAAATATTTGAAAACAAAACATACATGAAA